TGAGAAGCGAGCACTCCTTGTGACACATCAGGCAAAGCACCTGTCCAAGACCATGTCTACGAATTTTGTCGACCGTCAAGACACTAAAAGGAAGCATACACGAGGAAGAACAATGGTCATTAGTGCGCGGTCGTGTCCGGACGTATTGGGGAGTTCTAGTCTCGGTCTGCGTGCTTCGTTTTACTGCTCATGCTGTTTGGCTATAGCAGGTATGAATTTTGGCCGTATTGTTGCCATGGCAAATCGGGCGGCACGACTAAGATGTTTCCAAATCTGGGTGTTCAATGAAAAGTCAGCATGCCAGCGCGACTCGTCAGGGCACCAAGGTTTGTCTGGCAGCCGGATCGTGTTGTTGGAACTGTCCCATCAAGCGCTACATTAAGCGGCACGCAGGCAGGTGAGTAAGACGGCAGAGGCGCGACGGTGCAAGTGCATCGGCGCACTGGATCTCACCTCGCCCCGGGCGCCGGCCGGTCATGGCCGGGAAAGACATGGAATTCTGAATATTGCCTGGATAGAAGGTTATGGCATACCCACCCGGCTTCGAAGCCCGGTACCAGCATCATGACACAGGTCCCAGGCCTTACGGAAAGCAAGGCGCAAAGACCTGATGCCGCGACTCAGAAGAAGCATACATGGTACAGTGCCCCAGTTTGGGGCCCTACTTGCCCGCCGGCATTGGCAGTGCGCGCAAAAATAGCCCGGTTACTAAACCCGAAGACATGAATGTGGTGCAAACATCCATGGACACAGAGTTTATGGTCCAGCAGGTTCTAGAAGGCAGAGCGCCGAAGACCGTTACGCATTGCTGCGGTACGAAAGCGAAGCTACTTGCCTCGCACCGTCAGTGTCTTGGGGCCGCCGGCTTTGAGCTTTTACTCGATTAGCAATCGACGGCCTTCCCGGCTTCTTTACCAACAGAAAACGGCACGGTTGCTCGTGATACGGGGTCACGGCTTCTACGGATGAGGAGCCAGGCGGAACAAGATGACAAGAGCCCGTTTGAGGTGCTGCCATCATATCATGTCGCTGGAGCAGCAATCAATTAGCTGGGCGCTGATTGACGGCATTTTACCTTGATGCGGCCGTTGCGCCCGGCGTCGCTCCCGAGAGCCTGGAGCATCCACCGCCATATGAACCAGCCCACACGGACCAGAACTCGATTCGTTGGACCCAGCAGTTTGGGGCACGGCGATAGACTCTGAGCACAGGGCTCAAGGGCTGAGAGATCGAGGCCAGACCTCGATGTCGAGAGAGGGGAGAGGGGGGTTCAGGGCGTTGTCGCAAGCCGCAGGGTTTGGCTTCCCTGGTTCTGGGATATCGGTTGCCCACTTGCCTCTTGGTCTGCAAAACATCTCAGCTTACTCGAGCTGGATGTTGGTTGCCCGTCGTGTTTGCTCTCCCTAGCAAACCGCAAGCGTGGAACCTGTCCTGTAGGCAGCAAGGGAAAGGGAAAGGAGAGGGGAAAGCCACAAACTCTGTCCGGGCCCCAAGTATCAGCATCACAGCCAAGCGTCTGTGAGTCTGTTGAAGCGATTGGGACCGAGGCGATGGATTGATGGCAGCCTTCAGCTATCTTGTCGCGGCGCGCAGTCCGTCAAATCCCTCAGGCCACCGACCAGCAGCAGCGAAAGAACGCACAGGCACATGCATACAGTGTTCGCGATGATGAAGTCTGAGAGGCCCTGAAAGAGGTAAGAGAGGACTTCGAAGTAATGAAGTGGGCGCAAACCAGGGGGCAACCAATTGGTCACCCTGGCCCTGGACTAGAGTCCGGGAGGGACTCCGTTGCTCACTAAGAGACCCCTTGTTAAATCACAGTGGCTTACAGGGCATCCGCTAAAGGTCCACTGGCGCAGTTTGGTTTTTGCAATTGTGGCCGCCCTTTGCTGCACGCCTTAGGGGGGGCGTGCGGTGCGAAGGGGGAGTGGAAAAAGAAGAGAGAGAGTTCATTACCGGGGGAGGGGACGACCAACTGACAGGCCTGGAGGGAGAGGGCAGAAGAAGAAGAAGAAGAAGAAGAAGACGAAAAAGAAACGAAGCTGGCCTGGAAGCGGGTGACGAACGGGCCAGAGCGAGAGCACCCACGGCACCGTTAAGGTGGGAGGAATCGCCAGGGACTGGCCGCTGGGGACGGGCGGGTTGCTGGTCGGGGAAAGAGCCCAATTGACCTCGACCGTCGCAGTCGCAGGGAAGAAGAGGTTTTCGGGCACTCGCAGGTCCCGTCGCAACCCAGACCACTGACGCAGCCGGTGTACGTACCACGGCTGATGGCTTACGATGGCTGACGACTTGCAGTAAGGATAAGGTACCTTACAGCGAGGCGCGGTACGTGGCTTGAGGAAGAGGTGGGGAGCTCCCTCCGACTGGAAGGGAAGGGAAAGCTACCTCACGGTCGGTGGGAGAAGCGGCATCGGTCCTGGCCCGAGACGCAGCAATTGGAGATGCGATTGGAGTGGCTGTTGCTCCAAGAGCTCCTGGAGGCTTGTTGAAGTGAGGTGGTTGCTGCTGATGTTTTGGCAGGCAGGGAGGCGGCCATCGACGCTAGACTGCGGACTCTGGAGTCTAGAGTCCAGAAAGAAGGAGAGGGGAGCTCTTGCACCGATCTTGCCAGCCAAACGTCGGACGGAGCCTTGCAATCTGATGATCGGAAGCCGGCAGGAGAGATTGCCATATGGGATCACGGCCTTTCTCCAGCTCAGCCCAGTCCAGTCCCAAGCCAAGACCAACACGACGAAGCTCGCAACCAACGTTCGGAGCAAGCCGAACAATGGGAAGCAAGCAGGCAAGCAAGCACCGGAAGCCGATGGAAACCAGCATCGGCATCACATCAGCACCAACTTCAGCTTCGCCTTGCAGGATTCGGGGTGGGCGTCTGTCGTCCGATTTACGGATACGATGGCTTCTCTAACGTGCCCCTCCTCCACGTTCTCCTTACATGGACACACAGATGCCTCCTTCGCCCTGGCCGCCGCTGCTGCGTTGTTGCACACAACCACGGCCTCGATGACCTCGCCTCGACTTGCGCTTTCCTCTTCTCATACACACAATGGGCCTGGCCATTCCCCATTGTTCAGGAAAAGGAAACGGCGCACGGCGCTCCTGTCGGCCGTCTCCCATCATCATCATATCGTGGCATCAGTGCGCTCGCGTTGCGCCTCCAAACTTGTTCGGTCACAGCACCGTCCGAGGCCGTCCAAGATGCAGATGAACCGGCAAGCGCACACACAGATGCGTCGGCCGCCTAACTCCATCGGAAAAAAATGACTAATGATCAAAATTGAGACCTCGCCCTTCTTTCCCAACACGCTCCAGCTCGTTGTCGGGCACCCAGTACTTTGCGGCGAGCGCAAGCAATGCGAGCCGTCAGTCACATCGCAATTATTGTTAGAAACCAAGCTATTGTATGCACCTCACCTTGCCTCGCCTCTGCATTGCCGACTTTCAAGGCCTGCCTACAGGTAGGCACCTCAGGTGCAGATGGATGCAGATGAAGGGCGGATACAAGATACAGATACGGCGCGGACAGTCGAGCTGCGAGCAAGGTACGATACGGGACGGGTCCTGCACCTGCGTCCGCGCCGCCGCGGCTGCGGCCGGCATCTGTCTGTCTTGTCTTCCTGCCGTACCTGTCGCTGCTTGTCACACACACAGAGTCGCACTCGCTCGGCCTTCACTGCATGTGCATATGCACAAGACACGAGCAGCACACCACAAGAGCGCATTCCTCGCGCCTTCTGTAATTCTTCTTCGCATTCTCTCTTCCCCCCCCCTGCAAAGGGAAAGACGAGCGCAATCACACTCGCCTTTGGAGCGAATCCCACTCTTGCTGCATAGGATGGATGGATGGTCAAATGCTTCCCTCGCGCGTCTCCGTCCCATCCATCATCACCAACTCAACGCGTAGCTCCTCGCACTCTTCCTTTGTTCTCTGGGGTTGCGTGTGCCCGTCCCTCGGGAGACAAGAGACGCCAGACTGACGCACGATACAACAAGCTCGCCTCCGTCGCAAAACCAAACTGGCCCAAGAGCTCTACGCTAAACCAACCAAGCCGACTGGGCGGCCCTAGTTGATCTTCAACGTCGACAAATCCTCGCCCCAAAGCGAACAAGAATAAGGAAGAAAAAAACAAATCCAACGCCGCCCACCTACGAGCAACAGCAAGGTACGCACGCTACAGACCACCGGGGCATCATTTTACGGAACATACTCCCACACCCCCCTCGTCGCCCACTCCCAACGCCCATTACACACACTGGCACACACACACCACCCTCCCAAAGTTCCCAGACGCTTGGCCTGGCCTGGCTTGTCTCCTCCCCTCCACTTCCCTACTACGTGATCGTCCCTCGCTTTGGGCACTCACATGGGGGCCTCTTCTTGGGCTCCCGAAACCTTGAGTCAAGCCCTGGTCCCTGGTATGCACCTATCCACCATTAGTACGGGCAAGGATCCCTCCAACACGTCCGTCCCAGGGCTATGACATTCCTGTTGTTCCTATTCCCCTTCCACATCAATGCCCGCATCTCCTCCCTACATTCCATATCCTCTGCCACTTCCCATCAAAACCACCTCCACAAAGGCCAAGCGTCCTGTTTCTCTGTTCACCCTTTCCGCCGTCAACTGACTGTCATCACAACACCTTGACAGTCCCAAGAGGAGACCCGACCGCATTGCCACCTACTCGACGTTGGGGCTTACGACTTACGATTTCTGTTCGAAGTGAAGGATAACACGCTAGAGGCGCATCGATCGAACCGAGCTTTGCGAACGACGCAGTCGCAACCCATTGACCTATCCGATATCCGTTCAGGGCCGCAGAAGAGGCGCAGCAGGAGGATCAATTCGTATCTGAAGAGAAGTCTGGACTCGACTGGACTTTCCTTCACTGCACCTAATCGAGGGCGAGACAACCTCGACACCAACGACTTGACATCACGCCCAACTCACTTACATCGTTGTCGCCCATGCTTCTCCACGAGAGCAACCAGCAGCAGCCATGGTAATGCTGAGCGACCATTCCATGCGTGCCAGTCTCCAAGTGGCACCTCTCAAGCTTCACAAATCACAATCCTGCGATGCGCTGTCGTCGAAGCAGGACCAGTACAGCTCCAAGTCATATTCAACAGCACACATGACACCACCCGCAACACCCAATGGCTCGCAGGAAGATCTGGCTGCGCAGATGCCGCCGCCAGTATTCCACAACTTCCTGCGAGCCTTTTACCCCTTCCACCCGAGCTACGCCATGACCGACTCGAGCGTGACATTGCCATTGAACGAAGGCGACATCATTCTTGTGCATTCAATTCATACCAACGGATGGGCCGATGGAACTTTGCTGGTATCGGGCGCAAGAGGATGGCTTCCCACCAACTACTGCGAGGCTTACGACCCAGAGGAGATGAGAAATCTGTTGAAGGCTCTGCTGAACTTCTGGGACTTGCTCCGAAGCACTTCCGTCAACGATAGCGAGATCTTCGGAAACCAGGAGTTCATGAAGGGTATCATTGCTGGAGTGCGATACCTTCTGGTAAGTAATGCTCGTGACCCAGACTATGGATTTGAGTGGACTAATTGGTCGTCAGGAACGCACTCACTGCTTGACAAGAGAATCGGCAATCATCACCCGTAACGAGAACCTGAGGCGCGCGAGAAAGACGCTGCTCTCTGAGCTGTCGGCGTTGGTGAAGACGGCAAAGAAGTTGCAGGAGGCGCAAAAGGGTGTCCTGCAACCACGCGAAGACGTTAACGACATCATCGACGAGATGATCCTCAAGGCCTTCAAGATCGTGATCAAAGGTGTTAGGTTTTTCGACATCCTGGAAGACGATCGACGGCAACGAGCCCCTGCGGTGACCGTCATGGCGACCGTCATCGAGGAATCCTACATTCCCCCGACGCCACCTGCAGATCAGACCAAGTTCGACGAGACTCATGCAGGTTCCCGAATGACGAACGGTGCACCTGGCAGGGGTGCACCATCGCAACCGACCGACGCGGCACAGTCATCGCCCGCTAACAGGCGGCTTTCAACGCTCTACTCGCCTGCCAGCCCCAACTCGCACCGATTGTCTCAGAATGTCAAACGGCTTTCATCCAACATCTCCCATCGCGTTTCATTGGCTGGACCTTCGCCGCTGTCAAGACCTGGTCATCTTGTCTCGGAACGCCTCAACAAGAGCCACGACACTTTCCTGTCACACCTGGGATCCTTCATTGGTCGTTTGCACTTACAATCCCAGTCTCGGCCGGAGTTGGCTTTTGCCATCAAGCTGTCAGCGACATCTGGTGGAGAGTTGCTGGCTGTTGTCGATGTCGTCTGCGGGCACAGCACTAGCTCGGACATGCTGGTCCGAGCCAGGGAGATGATGTTTGAGCGCATTCGCGAGTTGGTCTCGGCGGCTGGCCAGATCATCCGCCATGCGGTAATGCAGGATGCGGATGTAATCATGCCGCAAGACAACAGCATGCTTCTAATGGCCGCAACTGGCTGTGTGAAAGCTGCTGGCGAATGTGTGGCCAAAACTAAATGGGTCATCGAGCGTGTGGGCGACTTTGAATGCGAATTCCAGGCTGGAGAGCTTGGTATTGACCTCAGCGTATTGGAACTCGCACCGGAACCTCACTATCGACGACCATCCATCGCTCCGTCAATTGCAGAGACTGCAACGACCGAGGCGACTAGCGTAGCAGAATCATCGAGGAGTACTGACTCTGTCCATTCTGTTGTGCCGCCAACGCCCCACCGACCGAGTATTGTCGCCAACGACAAGCCACTACCTCAACTACCTCACACTGATTCACCTGATGAAGAGTCCCGCCGAGTTCGACCTTCGTCGCAAAACTCCAACGGACGTAATTCACGACCATCTTCACTGGGCGATGATACTACTTCCAGCGTGGCATCTTCCATCTCGTCGATTCGTCCGACTTTGCCTCCTCTTCCCAAACTCTCTACATCCCTGCTCCCTGGAGATGAGTATGGCCCCATCGAAAACATTGGACAGGACGGCGACTACCACAATTCCTCCCGTGTTGACAGTATGACCGCATCCAGCGCGGGCAGCAGCAGCACCTACCTTAGCCGGGACTCAGAGGCCAGCCTCGTTTCCCAAACTTCTACCCGCGCAACAACCCCGGACCACATGTTGGCGCCTAGAAGCAAGCCGTCTATGTCAGAGCTGAGCAACAACGGAAGCGCCCACAACCATGACGAGGTGGACGAAGTCGAGTCTAGGATGTTGGAGAAGACGTACGCTCACGAGCTCATGTTCAATAAGGAGGGTCAAGTAACTGGCGGATCTCTCCCTGCACTTGTTGAGCGTCTCACAACTCACGAGTCCACCCCCGATGCGACCTTTGTCTCGACATTCTACCTTACTTTCCGACTCTTCTGCAGTCCTCTCAAGTTGGCAGAGACTCTCATCGAGCGATTCCACTACGTTGCCGAGGCCCCCCACATGGCTGGCCCGGTCAGACTGCGCGTCTACAACGCCTTCAAGGGTTGGCTCGAGTCGCACTGGCGTGACGAGACCGACCGCGAAGCCCTCAGCTTGATTGAGCCATTTGCCGAGTACGAGCTCGGCGGCGTGCTGCCCTCAGCTGGTCGCCGCCTGCTGGAATTGGCCCAGCGCGTCTCCAACGATGTCCTGGTCCCTCGCCTGGTGTCTTCTATGGGAAAGACCAACACTTCAATTGCCCAATACGTCCCGGCCGATACTCCCCACCCGCCCTTGGCTATCACCAAGAGCCAGTTCTCCCACCTCATGACATGGAAGAATGGTGGCAGCAACCCTACCATCCTCGACTTCGATCCTCTTGAGATCGCTCGTCAACTCACCATCAAGCAGATGAACATTTTCTGCTCGATTATGCCCGAGGAGCTTCTCGCGTCGCAGTGGATGAAGAAGGGTGGCGTCCATGCTCCCAATGTCAAGGCCATGTCGGCTCTTTCAACTGATCTCTCCAACCTCGTTGCCGAAACCATTCTCCAGTACCCCGAGGTCAAGAAGCGCGCCGCTGTTATCAAGCAATGGATCAAGGTTGCTCACCAGTGCCTCGAGCTTCACAACTACGATGGACTCATGGCCATCATCTGCAGTCTCAACAGCAGCACCATCAGTCGTCTCCGCAAGACCTGGGACGCCGTCTCTCCCAAGCGGCGTGATATGCTCCGCCACCTGCAGGCAATTGTCGAGCCATCGCAGAACAATAAGGTCCTGCGAACCCGTCTCCATGACCATGTCCCGCCCTGCTTGCCGTTCCTTGGCATGTATCTGACCGATCTTACCTTCGTCGACATCGGCAACCCCGCCACCAAACAGCTTCCCACACTTGGAGGTGATGGCTGCGAAGAAAACGGCGGCGGCCTTACCGTTGTCAACTTCGACAAGCACACCCGTACGGCCAAGATCATTGGCGAGCTCCAGCGATTCCAAATTCCCTACCGGCTCAACGAGCTTCCTGAGATGCAAGATTGGATGACGGCGCAGATCGTCCGCGTACGGGAGAGCGACCAGGGCCAGAATGTCCAGGTCAGCTACTACCGCAAGAGTCTGCTGTTAGAGCCTCGCGAGATGGCGATGCGCGCCCCCGCCGAGCCTCAAACCAGCACAACCACTACTCAGCGTAGCGGCGATCTCTTCGGCTGGATGAGCCGAGGAGACCGGGGTGCGCCGACACCCACGCCGATGTGAGGTCTCGGTCCAAGACGCCCATGTCTTGCTGGCAATCTCCAACGGACAACATCATTTCCACATTTCCCACGACATACATATCCCCTTATTCTGCTTCACTTTTGATACCCCAATTTTCTCACCTCACGTCAGAGGCTTTATGTCATGAATGACTTCTATCCTCATTCACGCACTACACTCGGCGTTAATTTGCTTCGTGCCCTGTTTCTGGGCTTGGCTCGGGGCTTCATTCGCCATGGATGAATACATGCGCGCTGGCTTATTGCATTGCTTGGATGTCGGTAGGGATGAGCGTGGTCATCCTGTATTATTGGAGGTGGCTGAGATGGTCTCTCCACCACACTGTTGGAATGCTCACATTCGCTCGCGCGTTTGTCGGGTGGTATTCCTGTTCCCTATGTACCTTGCTTTGAAGATTTTGGATTACGGCTGATGGGCTACTGGCATGGCTTGGAATGGATGGGGAGTTGGAGGCATACCAATCGAGGCCTTTGAGCCCTTATCTTGGACACCCGCGTCGTGGTAGGCTCTTTGAGCATTGGAGGCGTCCAAAAAGACCAAAAGTGTACACTGTATATGTAGGATAATTCTGTATACAGATTTTGGAGTGGCGGGCGGAGGTAGATACCATGAATAGGACTCAGAATCCTGATGATCAATAATTATGCATCTTCCTACTTGCCACTAAGTGATTGTGAGACATGACAATCTCGGCATGCAGACCCAAATTTCGCCAGCGGCGTGGTTATTAAACTAAGGTTTGAGCGATTCTTCTAGAAGGATCACGATGCCGTTTCTTTTAATATTACCAGCTCCACCTATTTTGTTTCCTCGGAGGTTAACGTGGCGGACGAGAGATGAAGTCGTAGGGATCCGGGGGCCCGCTCCTCATATCAAGGCCTGCGAGTTTACCACCGCACTGGAGTGGATAACAAATTGTTTCTGATTCGACTCGGTTTCTGACTGTCTCCCAAGGACCGGTGTTTTGGGACCTGGGCTGTGGAGATGGGGATGGGTGGTGCCCTGCTAGTGTTTATGAGGCGGGGGGTGAGATGTGATGGTTGGAAGTGTCCCTGGGCGGTGGTGTTGGGATAGTATTGCTGTGGTATAAATGGGATAAATGAGGAATAGTGGGTGGGGGAGGGGAGGGTATGTGGGTAGTTCGTGGATGGGTTTTGATGGGTGTGAAGTTGGCATTGACGCTGTGATGGTGTTGATGATCCTTTCAAGCAATAGTGAACACAAGAAAGGACAATTTGGTAAGGAGAATGGCTTGTGTAGGGAGGGTTGCTGGGTTTGTATGCTGCCTGTGAAAGCGTCATTCAGGATTCAGGATGAAAGCCACGCTGGAGGCGGCCCTTTCCCAACCGCCCTCCTGGAGGGCAGTTGGCGGTGGCCGTTCATTTGTCTCCAACTTGATTCATGATGGTTGTCTTTGTGATGGGGGCCGCTCTACATATAAGTATGTATGGGTCTGAAGGATGCAACAGCTGGCAAGGCAATCGGCATTCCCATCTCCAATAAGAAATTGCGATGCCGGCAATGGGATGCTGTTGGCTTCTCTTGATCTGTTCTGTATGTGCCACGGTACGACTTTGGACGTTCAGCTGGTCTTTGGATAGCATGGTGTCATTGCTGGGCGCGATTGTCGTTCGTGGATGTTGGGTGAATACGAGCAGGCTGGACAACGTGGCTTACCTGATGATGTATGATATCGCTTGACTTGGTGAGCAAAGGGTGAGGGACTGTATTGATGAGACGGGTGAGAATCAGCAAGCGCCCAGGACAGCATATGAGAAGTTCATTGCGTTCCATCAGATATTAAGCAGAAGCTGTTCAGGTCAGTTAGTTTCTTAAATAGCACTCTTGGGTGTACCACAGGCAAGAGGCATTTGATGTTTCTGGCACTGTCTATTTAAGGGAGTAAACGGAAACAGTTCAAGTGCTTTTCGGCGCGCAATGGGTGTTCGAAAGTCTCGTTGCAATGTTGATCGCGTTGGCAATCGGTGTTGGTATTCGTGCGGATCATGAAGTCAACAGGTCAGAGGGCCGCACAGTCCTCTGCATGTTCTGCAACGTGCGTGCAGTCTCTGTTATTAGTGGTCTCTGTCTTGGATGTATTCGATTTCATAGTTGCAGGATGACTACGAAGAGGGCAAATTGCTCTGTTGCAGGTCTTGTCTTGGGCGCTTTTGGAATGGGAACAAGGACGCACATAGCGAAATGTTCAGGAAGGCAAAACAAACATGGACGAATTTGTCTGCTCTTCTTTTTGCGGCTGCGCTTCTAAATCACGCTGCGTGCTGAAGCTTTTACAGAAGCATGCCTGCTGGGCGTCTGCTGGGAAATGGGTTTCTCTTTCAAGAGGGGATGCAGTATCAAAGAGGATGACCATGAATGTAGCATACTTAGAAACAAATGCTTTCGTGATGAAATATCATCATCAGGACAATGAGAAGGCGAGCATCTCTTTGTGCCAGTAAGAGAAGCTGGTGGCACGCTATGAAGCTACGTGAAGGGAGGATACCACTTGGAAAGCCAACTCAGCACCCAGTATGCTGTCTATATTGTCTGTTGCTGTATACGCATTGGAGAAGATTCCACAAGCGAGGATGGAAATAGTGTTGAGCCTTTAAATTGATGAGAACTTGAATTGCTTGCCCGGATTCCCCCGGAAGCAATGGCTGCTGTACCCCGCCCAAGGCGAGATCTCCACCAAGATCTCCGATACGTTACTCGCTTTTGAATTACTTTTTCTTGTTCTAGCGTTACTAAAGGATAGTGTACCTAGTCTTATGTTGTTGAAGGTGAGTTCACGGAATGACCTGGGGCCGCAGGGTTGAAGTCGGCAGGAAAGGATTAGAACTAAGATGACGTAAGCATAAATTAGATGAAGATTGCCGTTTGAAATATATTATATAACTTAGAGCGTAGAAGAAGTTCTGCGAACGCCATCTTCAATTTGAAGGCACAATATCGGAGATGAGCAACGCAAGATGACCGTTATTGTAAGGCAATACTTGTGGGCACATCAAAAGATGCTAGCGACCAATACCTAGGAGAATCCAAACACTAATCCAATCGTCCAAGAGCTTGTTGATGCGACTACTTCTGAGGGTATGTCATGAGTTCCCTGTATCAGCTGGCTACAACAGAGGCTTGAGTGATTGGCGGCCCGATGTGGTGCTGATGGAAGGTTTGATGACTGGGAATCTGCAGTATTGGACGTGGTGTGATGCGGAAACTACAATATGTATTTGAAGCAACGTGGAGGATGGGAGAGGCTATTGGCCGTCCAGCGATCAAACTAGGGCAGTGGACGCGGGAAATCAATGCACAAGATGTTGCCTGAAGGTGCCAAACGCAAGGTGAACGCATTCATTTACATCTGATACTAGGGGGAGTTTCCCAATATAACCGAACATTAATCCAGAAAGAACGGTGTTCAGCAGCAAGCCCGTATCTATGCTGTGATCTTTGCATCTACATTAGGGCACGTAAATTCGAGGCACCTCCCCCTTGGCCGGATTGTACTTTCCTTCGGCAACACGCTTATTATGCAAGGTGTAGATGATGACCTGCAGTATGGCGAACGCCATCCCAATCGAGACCATAATTATCTGGGTCCCCAAACCGGTCTGATAACTGCGAAAGATTCAGCCGTAATCCTTTGAAGATGTTCTGTGAACTCACAATGGCGTGTCGTTGCCTCGGTAATACTGCGTTCCGACCATCAGGCCACTGATGGAAAGCATCACCCACATTCTATGCCACATATCAGCATTGGATCATGAACTTGCGCCATAGACAGCATCGACCTACGCAATACTGATACTCCTCTCTCCTGGCTCGCGGCAATTCAGCTGCACCCATGAGTTGTTGGCTGGGTGGTACCCCACAGCGAAGCTATTGACGGCTGTCCAAAGACCCCAGCGGGACCACTTGCCCACATGAGGATGGGCAGTCCTCGCCACAAGTAGGACGATAAGATAGCAACTGTGTGCACCTATTGCCGACAGACCGCGCTTGTTAGTCTTGTCACTAATCCAGGCGACTATGAAAACGACTACAAGCGCAAGAGAGGCGCCGACGGCGGCAAGAGCGTTGGCTTATATGCGGTTGAAGCCGAGGTTCCTGCAAGACTCCCGATTAGCATAATGTCCTCGACCCAGATCCCGTGCTACTTGCATGATAATAGTTGGCGTGTAAGTTGTCAAAGGACTCCAGGTGGAGAAGACGGCGAAGCTGCTCAGAAAATGGGGCCATCGTTGCCAATGCAAGATCGTCTTGAGCACAAGTTTTGGCGGTATATGCATTCCTTGCACGCCATGTCGCTTCTCCTTGTCATCGGATTCGAGTCGGCATTGAATGATGGCTCTTTCCGAGCCTTTGAAGCGGACGAGGCCTCGGCTCAAAAGGGGATCAGGGGTTTCGGGAGATCCAGGGAGGAGTAACAACAGGGAGAGTCCCACGAAGATAGTGAACACTCCCTCAACTGCACTCGTGTTAGTTAAGTTGCAGTAGCAACCCGCGAAATATAAAGCTCTTCAAGCTAAACGTTTAAATCTGGTTGAACTTACTGAGAAAGAGCCACTGCCAGCCTCTTAAACCCCGTGCGCCCTCAAGCTTAAGTATGCCAGATGCCAGCAGGGGACTCAAAGCATTGCCACTAAACATACCAAAGAAGAAAACAGCGACCCGCTTCGCGAGCTCTTTCTTCTTATACCATGTCGACAGTGTGTAGCAGGCACCCGGTATATAACCTGCCTCTGCCAGACCGAGAAACATTCGCGATGCCAGAAAGCCCTTTCTATCGCGGAGAAATATCTGAAGGGTCGCAACCAAGCCTAATAGCATAACTTGAGCTGATATGTACTTGCGAGGGCCAACCTGAATTGTATCAATGTCAGTAGTGTTGTTCATGATACCACACCCGTTACTCACTTGTTGAAGCAGCATGTTGGACGGGATTTCCAAAATCACAATGCCTAGAAACATCAACTGGTTTCCGAGATTGATTGTGTCCTGATCCACTCCGATATCCTTCGCGAAACCACCAGTAAGAGCACTCGCCAGGTTCATGCGATCCAGCTGAAAGACAAGCAGCCCCAGATATAGCAACGGCAGCACTGAGCCGTCAATCCTGCGAGCGAGTTAGCGATCTCAGATCACGTTCTTGGCCTCCTCATATGGCGAAACACACTTCCTCCTAGCTTGAGTTTCCTCATGGTTCGTCCAATCCTGTTCAGATATCGGCGTCGCAAGGCCAGGTGAATCGGCCACTTGCAGCTCCTGCTTTGTTTCTGCCATCGTGCAAGGTGAGCTTTCGGGACTTGCAAATTGGGCTTCCAACTTGCAGTTTCGGCGCCAGATTTGATAGGATGGGGCGAGATTAACTATTGGGCCGAACGACGGGAGGCAGGTCTTGTCTCTGTTCGGCATTTGCCCTCCAGAAGCTCAGTCTCTTGCATCATCTCTCGGCAGTTGCCACGTCCACTTGTGACCAATTGGGAGGCACATCGATTAACTCCGCCTGGAAGACATTCCAGAACCTTGGGCCGTCGACCCTCTTAGTCACGGTGTCGCGCTCTTGGGACCATCACGCAATAGCCCCCAACGTCCATTCAGCAGCGTGCCATGCCGGCCGAACATGGGGTACCGGGCTAGATACGGCCACCTCGTTGAAGATTCTCCACATTTCTCCGGATGTGAGTGACAATCCTACCAAGCACGCCATCTTTCATCATCGCGCCAAGACGAAAGCCGGTCTCTTATCTGAGGATGTCGGGATTTGAAACTCAAAATATCATATAATCGAGCATTGAAAAACTCCTCGTTCGAATGCGGCTCCGTGTTCCCGGGGTTTTAAATGAAATCCATTCGGGAAGCAGTACATCGTTGAAGCGGCTTGTTCAAAGCCGAATCACCGGGGAAGCTAGTACTTTCACACGCGATATATACCTTGACCTAGCCGATCCCGTCGCCAAACCCAAACTGAGATCCTCGAGGTGTTCGGCTCTCACCAGCCTAGGTTATCCAAAATGGGAGCTGCAAAGCGCGTTGCCGTCATCGGAGCCGGCCCTGCAGGTGCCATCACAATCGATGCTCTTGCGCAGGAGAAAGCATTTGAAGTAATTAGAGTCTTTGAGAGACGCGAAGGTCCTGGCGGATGCTGGTGAGCCCAAAGAACATATTCATCAACGGAGTTGCGCTAATATCAGTTGACTCACAGGCTTGGGGAGACGAAAACGCCGCCAATTGTCCAGCGCGATGAACTCAACCTTCTCGGCACACGCAAAGCGGACCCAATTTACCCTTTCATTCCTTCCAAACTACCAGCTCAGACCCCGAAGCTTCCAAATCCTCGTTATACAGAGTCTACAGTATATCCGTACCTCGAAACCAACGTCGACTTCTTGCCGATGCAGTTCACCCAAGAGCCGTTCCCACAAAAACAGTCAGAGTGGTCTGTTTCTGTGCACGGCGCCGACACGCCTTTCCGGCACTGGTCGCTAGTGCAAGACTATGTACGGTCTCTTGTCGAAAGAAGAGGCTATCAAGACTTCGTGGAGTACAACACCACTGTCGAGAAAGCCGAGAAGGATGAAGAGACTAGAGAGTGGAGGCTGATTCTACGCAAAGACGGCGAGAAGACAGATTACTGGTGGGAGGAGAGGTTCGATGCTGTCGTTGTGGCATCAGGTCATTACAGCGTGCCTTACATTCCATTGATCCCGGGTCTTGGGGACTTTGCGAAAAGGAAACCTGGAAGTGTGATCCACAGCAAGCACTTCCGTGGCCGTGATGCTTACAAGAACAAGGTGAGATGCGTGAGACCATTTCATGACGATGAGAAATGGGGACTGACTATTGTCCGCAGAGAGTTGTCGTTGTAGGCGCTTCTGTTTCCGCAGCAGACATCGCCTTCGACCTGACCTCGACTGCTCAAGCTCCGGTGTACGCTGTGACTGTTGGCCACAACTTCAACGGTTACTTCGGTGGGGAAGCATTCAACCACCCGAAGATTACGAAGGTCCCATCCGTATCGCAAATCGATCCCAGAACCCGCACCGTACACTTTGTCGATGGCACTTCCGTCGCTAATGTTGACAACATCATTTTTGGAACTGGCTACACCTGGACCTTGCCCTTCTTCGATTCGTTCAACGGTAGGAGAACAGCGCCAAAGCCAACTAATAACCGAGTGCCGGACTTGTATCTGCATGTCGTCTATCGGCCAGACCCGACTCTGCTCTTTGTTGGGGCTGTCAATGCTGGCTTGACCTTCAAAATCTTTGAGTGGCAAGGCGTATTGGCAGCTAGAATACTTGCTGGACGGGCAAAATTGCCACCAGTGGAAGAGCAGAAACGATGGGAAGATGATCGCGTGGCAAAGCGTGGGGACGGCGCCAAGTTTGCTTTGGTGTTCCCTGATTTTGAAGAGTATTTTGAGACTGTCAGAAAGCTTGCTGGTCCTGCAAATGGCTGCGGCAGAGAACTTCCACCATTTAATAAGTTCTGGTTTGAGCGATTTATGGCCGGCCATGAGCGACGTAAAGAAATGTGGAGGAGGCTGAATGCGGAGGCCAGGGAGACTTCAGAGCAAGGAAAAGTAAGAGAAGTTCGCGCCAAGTTGTGATCACACTTAGTCGCAAACGATTACATACACATCCGCAGATTTTAAAACCTCAGCAATATTGTGCAATGTGAAAGTCTGGTCCAGAGACGCTTCTGTTTTATGTTTTTTTAAAAGTGTATATTACACAGGCCAACATCACTACTTACTCCTTGGGTATCAAGATTATTCTATAAATCGCCACAATTAACGTCCTGCTCCATGTGAACAGTCCCAAAATAAGAATGCCTTTGATGCTGTAACTCCAATGCCCTTCGAATCAACTTGCAATCAACTTGAACTTGTGTTTGACGAAACGCCACCGCCACCACTGCCACCGCTGGAACCCATGCCTGAATCCCCTGACTGATGGCTCGAGTAAGCCGGAGGCTGTCCATCATAAGGGGAAGAGTGTCTGCCGTTGTAGCCAGCGGTATAGGTGTATCCTCCCTCTGATGTGCCGTATTGAGGACCTGGGAATGTTCCTTGGCCCATACCGGTCTTCCTAAGCTCGTTTTTCTGCGCTGGGCCCTCATTGGAGGTGGCTATTCTCATATACATCTTCATGTACTCGGTCTGCCTCTTCTTCATTCGTTTCCTCGCGCAAAATATGCAAGTCGCAAAGACGACTGCCATGGAAACCGCAACGCAGCCGAAGATAATCGCAGGGAACGCAGCGGGTGGGCCGGGGCTCGGGCTCCCTGTGTCGTTGAAGTCGCGTTGGATAGAAAAGGATGACTGTCGCAGATTCAGAAGATCGGCTGCGGAGCTGATGTCCGCCGACCTGATGACGGGCATCTTGGCTTAGATTGTAGGCTTCGGGGCCGCGTATGTGTCGACGTGGTATTTGTCGTGGACTTAGAAACGACGATGGTGGCAAGTGGCAACTTAGCTGCGAAAGATAGATTGGTTGTGATAGAACCAATTTGGAACAGCTTAAACTTGTAAAGAAGTCTTCGCAGTGTTTTGGTGGCAATCAATGAAAACATATATGCCCAGGAAGTAATTGGGAGAGGCAGGGCTGACTCGTTGGCTGCTGGTTCCTTGAGGATTCCAAAAGTCGTCTAAGCCCTACCATCACTGCCTCATTTAGGCTCACAGAACATTCCAACACATGGGCAAGGGGCAGACTAGCGGCACTTTAAGACCTTTCGTGCACCGAAGGATTCAACAAAATTGTGTCACGGGGGCTTCAATTAGGATAGGCTACTTCAAAGTGCAAAAGTCATCATGGGGCCCAGACGGCCACTCGGACGACTAGCTTGGGCTCCTTCCCCCACACTCAGCCACCGCCAAGTACGACCGCACACTGAGACCTGCACCGCCCAGTCGCCCGGCTTTCGTGCGCTGAAATATTTAATGAATACCAAAGTCTGCATGTCCAGAATGCCCGGAAGTACAGGCGACACAACTTGTTGGAATTGCTTTCGACGTTCCTAACGTGTATTGATTCGTTGGCTTCTGTGTCATAGATTGCAATCGTCCTCCCTGAAAACGAAAGTCCACAATTCAGAGAAGACTTTGCATGATCAATACAAGTGCTCCAATATTCCAAATGAACAGTGCGCAACGGTTGAGATGGTTAGATACACTCACACATGAGACGAACCGTTGACGTGGAGAACAGACGAAGTCGCGAGTTGCACAGAGGTGTACAAGCCAAGAGTCAAATTTCTCTGATTGCTAAAAGTATTTACAACGAAATCCCGCCCATTTGTCATCTAGGGGTTGGTGAGAGTGAATGCAATATCGCCTGTGCTTGCGCCACCAACACAGGTTGACTTGAAGCTGCCGGTCGGGCAAGTAGCGCGGGCCGCGCGAATGCAACCCTCCCAACGGCCCTTAGAAACATTTAGTGTAGCGCCAGAGCTGGTCGGGTTCAAAGTAAACTTGGCTGTACCCGACACGCCGGTTGTGCTCTTCGGCGCACCGCCGCATTTCTGGATCGAACCCTGGATGCCACCACAGATGGCGAGAGTGGCAACGTTCATGTCGTGGGTGTCGATTTTGCTGCAACCTCGCGTCAGTCTTACACGTCACTGCTCGTTGTCAAATAAGATGTACTTACGCAGCCTTGTCGGTGCAAGTGGTGTCCTTGACAGCAGCAGGGTTGACGTCCTTGTTGGCGCGAATCTCTAAAGCAGCGTCGTTGAGAGTAGGGGCGGGGACAGCCATGGCGAGGCCAGAAAGAGCCAAGAGGCTTGCGGCGAAAGTAGACACTAGCATATTGGGTTGTTTTGATTTGATGAATGAATACGGTTGAAAATAGAGTTATTTTGACAGAAGAAAGTGGAGTCGCAGCTTTGGGCCTGCCAAGAGTAGAATGAACAAACAAGATGGATTGGCACCTTCTGGCCAAGACTACGGGAGCACGCAAACTAATAAATCTGAAATCGGAATGTTGAGCCGGGTACTTTGTGTGGAGGCAGGGCTACCAGAGCATGATCGGCAGGCCCGTCTGATCGTGTGAAGTGGTGTTCCATCAAGGAATCGTCTGAGACGGGAACAGTTTCAGCTGACCCTTTTCGCACATGCGACGAACGATGCTTGCTGGTGAAGTTGGTGGTGAGCTGCCGCACTACCGAGTCGCTTATCCATTCACCCTAGCGATACGAGAGAATAAAACGGGCTGTATCCCCCTTTGCTGTCTCAAATCTTGCGCAAGTTTCGAGCCTTCCACCTTCACCCCGCCCGCTGGATCGCGCGGCCTCCATGAAGCGGGCAGGTGATTTGGGCGCACCAGCCATATAATGGCACGGCGTATTGCGTGGCTTTGGCCGGTTAAGCTTTGTCGGGCTCGCAAGTTTTGGTATCTACCACATGGTCGAGAAACTTCTCACGATGTTGTCTTATCAGAGTTCAATGTCATCACATGGTTCCGATGATTTGGATATGATTAGGTTGTGAAGGCCGCGTCATTCATGCTCAGCCTCTTTGGACTGCCGTGAGCAGCGAGGCTATTCGCAAGTTTTCTCTGTTTTTGGAACAGCTGCATTCGTCTACAAATATCACTAAACGGGCTGAGTAACTTCAAATAGGGTTCTACAGTCCCTCCCCGTCAGCTCCAGAGTCAACGCATGGTCCATACTTCTCGTTATGAGCGCTGAATGGGTTGATGACTTACTCCAAAGCCTGTGGACTGTTTTACACACAGCAACTTCGTCGCAGTCGAGTGATTCTTTGATACTAGCAATGAAGCAAGACGAACACCTGTCAGACCATCGTGAGAGCGAGTAGAGAAAGGTTTCACGTCACATAACGCTGATGAGGGTACGCATCACAAACTTTGACCAGTATCATAAGCATGAGTACTGCAGTCTTGGCAATAGACGGTGTAGACATCATCGGTGTTGTCAATGAAACCCTATGAGATGACTCGCGGGTTGTTATGAGTTATCTAATTGTGAACATCAACGATGCTCTTGGCGAAGGAACCACAGTGAGCGCCAGACCGCTTGAAGTGAATGGTAAATCTGACTTGATATGGTACGCTGAAGTCAAATGGGCCTGGTAACTCAAGCCAGGCGCAATACATTTGCCTATAGTAACCCATGGCCTCGGCACTTGCACTTATGGAATTGAGTTCAACAGTGTTCATGAAGTATCATGCGATTTGATTCAGATGTTGCGTAATCGCGGGGCTCTCTTCTAGTTCTTGGTCCTTCCGAGACGCCCCGTCGGCAGCCAACACACAGCACGTGGTCATGCTCCTTCCACTTTAATTGTTGTTTCCAGTCGCGACACCCCAGAAGTACCCGCACCAGCTGCCCAGGATCAGCGCGATCAGTGCAACGAAACAAGCCATGGAGATCACTTTGTTCTTGTGGCCGTCCTCCTCGTGGAATTTCCGCTTCTGCTCGTTCAAGATTTCTCCCCGAGCAATGCGAACCTTGCGCGACCACTGAAGATGTCCAAGATCAGTGAACTTGAGAGCCAGCAAGAACAAGCCAATAGACACGACAACTGAGATTCCGGCCAAGATGACGTGTACAATAGTGACCTTATCATAGGAGTTGTTGTCCGCGTCTTGGATTGCTCCGGTCACGATACGGACTATGATGTTCATACTAAAGCTTGGTGAGTATATGCGCCGACGGGTGACTGAATCTGGAGGTTGGTGGTACGTACGCATTGTTCATAGTGATCTTCAGAGAGTAAGCCGAGCCAAAGACTGATGAGTCCCACACCGCAGTACGTGTGCTGTCAATGATGGTGGCCGGGCCGAAGCAGTAGGCAAACGCAAAGACACCGAAACTAGCTGCAGTGCCTGTCGTGTTGTTGGCAAAACAGACCAGCAACATGGAGGTGAACATGCCGACACCACAGAATGCCACTAGAAAGCGATGTCAGTCTTCCGAAACACATTAATTTGGGCAGCGAGTGAGTGACATACGGATAGAGATGCGCTGGCCAAAGACGTCTAAGAACACACCGAGAAGGGGAACAACGAAGAAACCTGGTTTCGTTAGCCTTTCGATCTCTTGAAACTTTCAAGAAAGTTAATGCTTACCAGCATATTGAAGCGTCGCGCTGTACCATCCAGCAGTGATGGAACTGGTGCCGAATCGCTGCTCAGCCAGCTCTGTGGCATTCTGCAAGAACACAATAGCAGTGCTAGTTTCGAAGAGGGAAAAGGCCATAACAGTCCAAAACGACCACGGCAGTTCCAAAACCTTGCGCAACTGGAACTTCTTGGACTTTTCAGTGAGCTGCTCTCCTGTGGCTGGATCGCGGACACCTTGGAACTTCTTGTGGGCCACTTTCGTGAACCAGTAAAAAAACACAGTGACGACATTCGTAAACAGGTTCATGAACACCGCCACCCAGAAAACCCAGGCAAAGTTCCCTGTTCGCTTCGCGATAATGTTTGCAGATGACTTTCCGGCAAATGCACCGATCTTGCCGATGCCCAACTCAAAACCAAGCGTGGAGGCGAAACCGTTGCTCGGAGCAAACCAGGATGAGAAGACCTTGTACTGTGCGACCTGTGTAGCGATGTCTCCCAGGGCGCGAACCACTCGACC